GGGAACTTTATGAAATTATTCGAAGCCAAGAAACTAAACATTCTTAGTCTTGATAAACTAAACCCTGTAGTGTGAATATTCCCCGAGAATGATAAGGTAAAATCCTAAAGTGCATAAAAAGATGACAAATGGAATGCACGGAGATAAAATATGGTTAATAAGGGACTAATGAAAAAAAGAAAGAAAAACTTGATTCAGATACCTTGAGGTCCATTAAATCATTTTAAGTTCTAAACTTAATCGTAGAGCACACAAAGATATTGCCCTACAATTTTTTTTAATAATTCTAATTATTTTCAGGGGGAAATGGGGTGAATAGATAACAAATGTGTTAAGATACAAGCTCGGGTATGGTGGATAAATAAGATGAATAAGGCGGAGATAAGATAAAAACATACTTCAGACCAGAGCAAAGTAATGTTTTAAAATGAGAATCTAATTCACCCATATAGTCAAATACATAGATTATTCGTAAGAATAATAATTATAAAATAGAGAAACCCTCTAGTTTGACGCTAAAAACATGAATATTCAAACAAAAAGTGAAAAAAATGGTTGCCCTTTTTAGCACCCACCAATAATAAAATAGTAAACAAAAAACATGCAGGTCTCAAAGAGCCTAATGTTGTCAAAATAGGGAGTTGATATTTAAAAAATTATACGGTTAAATATCTAAATCAATGACTTACTTTGCTAGCTTCTTCGCTAGCCCACAAAGTCCGCGGCGCTGGTAACTATTTACTTGACGATAGATGATACTCAGAAGTCCACAGGCGGATATGCGGGCAGTGAAATATTTTCCGAAGCTAAGACGGCGTACTAATGGATAGTAGTATCGTTCGAGATCTTCCTGAGAGTGATCCTTGGCAATTTTGCGAAGTGACTCAACTGCTTTCTCACGAACTGCTGCTTCTTCGACCTGTGTTTATAGTAAAGATAATTAATCTTAGGAAACCAATTAATTATACCCCTTCCGTCTAGGCAACAGATCGTATATTTTCTTAGCCGATATGCATGGGTAGATCACCATATACTGAAATTTAAAATCCGTACGATTAACTAATAATATCAAGACAAAACTAAGTGCAAAGAAAAAAAAATTAAAACACTTAAAATCCCCCCATGAACTTCTTGATTTTTATAACCGTTAGTTTCATGTTTGTTGACCTCTTTCATAAAAATATAGCTTGCTTTCTTGTCTTGGTATAAAGACCCTATACTCTTAATCAGGAATAGAGAATATATAAACTAAAATCCTCTTGTTAATTATATCTAAGCTAATTATGCCATATTGACGTACCCATCATTTTGTTTGAAGAGGGAAGTGGAAGATAATAATAAATTGGCCCAACCAGAAGCCGAAGTGCTTAGTATTTGGCGAATTTTTATAAACCATGATTTCCTGCTCTGACGATATCTATTACACGGCAAACTAAAGTTCAAACAGATTCAATAGAACCGCAATGAGAACTTATTCGCACAAATATATAGTCAAGACTCAGTCAGCCCTCGGTTATACCAACGTACGAATCCTTTCTACCCAATTCAAAATAAATGAAAGGTATGCCACCAACAATTCATTTCAAAACCCAGTTTTCATTCATAATTATACTATATTCGCAATCTCATGTTTTGTGACTATAAACTAACAATCTTATGCTTGCATAGCCGCCATTAACGGACAGGCTTTGGGGCCTGTATATGGAGAAAATCTATGTCAGATACGGTCATCTAACCAGTGAGAAATTTTTTATCGAATAAAATAATAAATGTAGCAGCGATTTTATAATATGCCCTTGAAATTTTTTGCAACCGTTTTTTCTATTTAACTT